AATTCGTTATAATATAATATAATATAATATAATATAATATAAATTATAATAAAAACCCGAATTAATTCTGTTAATTAATTCCTGCTCTTCATTCCCAGACCCTCCTGCTGGAGCCAGGATTTCCCCATCCTGATCCAATTAATTGCCCTTAATTAATTAATTCCATAATTAATCTAATTTTAATATTATATAATATAATAAAATGATATTAATAATAAAATATAATAAAAAACTGAATTAATTCCCTGAATTAATCCCTGCTGGTCATTCCCAGACCCTCCTGATGGATCCAGGGTTTCCCCATCCCGATCCCCGGATCATTCCCAAATCCCATCTCACCTGGAGGACCCTGTTCAGCCCAGCAGGGATTGAATTAATTTCCTGTAATTAATTAATTAATTAATTAATTATTAATTCCCTGATGGGTCGAACAGGGTCCTCCGGGCGAGAGGGGATCCGGGAGCATTCCCTGGGCTCCAGCAGGAGGGTCTGGGGCATTCCCGGGAATTACAGCACTGATTAATTAAAGGCAATTAATTAAGGGAATTAGTTTAAAAATTAGTAAAAAAAAATTATAATAAACTATAATTAAATGATAATTTAATTGTAATATTATAGAATATAATAAAATAGAATATTAAAATAATAAAATAGTATAACAAATTATAATAAAACCCCAAATTAATTCCCTTAATTAAACATTCCTGATTAATTGATTAACCGATTAATTAAGAATGATTAATTAAGAGTCAGTATTTAAGGCAATTATTTAATTAAAAGCAATTAAAATAAATTACAATTGATTTAATCATAATATTATATTGTACTATATAATAAAATATTACAATAATATAACAGTAATAATATTTATATTTCTAATAGTAATTTTAATTATAAATAAAAAAACTAATTGATTGCCCTTAATTAATCCGTGCTGGTCATTCCCAGCCCCTCCCGCCGGCGCTGGGATTTCCCCATCCCGATTCCCGGCTCATTCCCGATCCCGTCTGTGGTGGTTTGGACCTTGGTTTTTCCCCAGAGGCTGAAAAGTGGTAGACCCCAAGGGGTGGAAACCCTTGGAAGTTTTGAAGTTTTGCCCAATGGGCACTCCTGCAAAAATGTAAACATATCACAAGCTCACCGGAAGAGATGAGTTGTAGTTTGGGTTGTTGGAGAGGTGGCCATGTTGTGAGCCACGAGGAAGGGGCTCGGAGCCCCTTGGGCCCTCTGGGGCCTCCCAGCCCCTGGCTGGGAGGGGACTGCAAAGACTTGGAACAGTGTTAGACTGGGCTAAGTGTCTGTAGTTATGCCAGGAGATGTTTTTCTGCATGGGCACAGAGCAGCA